AATTCATACCCTCACCACCCCCGAGCCCCAGACCCCTATTGCGCCGCTCAAGCCTCTAGCCACACCCTTTTATTCTCCCATAATATTTGCCTAGATTATATATTTTCCAACAAATGTTTTATGCTAAGCAATCGAGTACCAGAGAATAAGTAAGAAAACTAGTACTTATTTTCCAAAAAAAAAAAAAATCCATGAAAAATATTTTTCTTCATACCTAAATACACCCTTAAATTGGTTAATTTTTTCATAAGTATTTTTTTTAATTTTTGTGACAACTGAAAACCTTTATTTTTTGCTTCGTTGGAAAACGGTTTTTACAATTTAAAAAAGAAAAAGAAATTGAAAACGAGTTTTTAAAAAGTTTAAAACAAGCGCCAACAATTGAGATTCTTATTTATGTTAGGAGACCAAACATGAAACGAGGGCAAAATACATATGCAGCCCCTCAAACTTGCAAGATATTTTTATTTGGACACTCCAACTAAAGCTTGTTCCTATTGAGCACTTAATGTGCTGAAGATGTATTATTGAACACTTAATTCTGAACCTCTCACAGAAACAATGTGTGTGAGTCTCAAACACCTCACGTGGCAAAACAAGACCAATTAATATGTGACACGGAAAATTATTATTATTTTAAAAAAGCTTCTTCAACAACCTTTGCCTGAGACTACCTCCGACCACCAGAAATTCTCGCTGGTGATTTCTTTTCTCATCTCTGATTAGCAATGCCTTCTCTTAGTAATTTAAGATAATTTGAGGATATTTTCGACTGAAAATGCAAGGCAACCTAGTATGGCATGAGGTGATGGACAGAGCACCATCGTCATCTGTCGTGGAGTTCGAGGAAGAAGAAACCTCTACATTAGTAGTTGCTGCCATTGACGATGTGGAATCCATCCAAACCAACAATTGGCACTTCGAAAGCACTAATTTTTCAGTCAAAATCTACAGCAAATTAAGCAACGTTGTTGCAAATTTTTACAATGGATGTAACAGATTTTTGCCCTAGAACTCCAAAAGGGAAAAATTCAACGTAAATATAAGCAAAATCAGAAACTCAAACTAATGATCCTTTCTGTAATTGAAATAATATTGCCAGAGATTTTGTCGGCTGTCGAGCAGATCAATTTGGCGCTAACAGTAGGAGAGGGAGTGAGAAACAAATAACAAATTTGATTGTTCGTATTATTGAATCAGGAGATTTATTTTCTTGTCTACTTCCCTTTGGGCATATAGTGATGGAGGTAATAGGTAGGTGGCAGAGATTTGGTGGTGGAAATGGTTGTGAAGCGAAGAGAGAAGATGAAGGGAACGGAAAAAAAGAATTTAGTCCATCACGCTCTCTTTTGAAGTGAGTTACGCGCACGTTGCCATGTCAGCACCATGTGTTTGATAGGTACACTCAAGCTTGAGTTCATGTGTTCAATAGGAATAAGCTGCCTGTTGTTTTTTTATGATTAATACGTCTGAATCTGAATACACATCTAAATATCAAGATGTGCATTAAGATTAAAATATCTGAATTTGAATATATATCTAAATATTAAGATGTGTATTAAGATCTGAATACTTAATAATTAAAACTATTTATTTTTAATGTATAAAATTTATCTTTATTTGAAAATTAATAAACATAAAATTCAAATAAAATACTAATTAATCTAATATTCTATTAATAATATATATATATATTTAAAAATATGGTAGTTAGTGGTGGTGATGACTAACGATGTTGCTTGTGAATACCGACTAAATACAACGGTTAGTGGTGATTTTGGTTGATGGTGGTGGTTTTGAGTAGTAGCTAGTGATAATTGGTAGTGATGTCGATCGTGGTTGAGAATGGTGGTGGTAGGTGGCAATAATTAATAAAGGTGGTGGGTGGTGGTGGTTGTGGTTGTAATTGAGGATGGTGGTGGTAGTTTATAATGGTGGATAGTGCCGACTACGGTTTTTGATAATGATGGGGTGGTTAGTTATGGTATTTGAGGTAGATGAGTTTGTGGTTGTGATTGAGAATGATGGTGGTGGGGGTAATAGGGATTTTGGGCGGTGGTTGTCGATAATGGTGGCTGCTATGATTAAGGAGGAGGAGGAGGAAGAGGTAGTGGTGATAGTAGTAGTTGAGTATGGTGGTGGTGGGTGGCATGGTACTATTTGATAATGGTAGGAGCTGGTAACAATTAATAATGAACGTAGATGATATCATCTTAATGAACTTAAGTTTTTGTTATAGATGTTAATCATACAGACCTATTAAGACTCATTAAGTGATTGTAAAGTAAAAAAAAAAAACTTAATGATTAAGATCTGAATGATTAAAATTCAAACTTTAAAAACAAACACATTTAATATTTAAGATTTGAATAATTAAGATTCAGACATCCATTAAGTGCAAACAAATAAAGCCTTAGTTGGAGTGTCCGCGTAAAAATGTCTCCCAAGTTTCGGGGGCTACATAGATATTTGGCGTAAAACGAGAAAGAAAATCATTAGCAATTAGTATTAGATATGCTTTTCACAATTTTCGTATATTTCTTCCTTCCCTAAAGGTTTAAAAGAAGAAGAAAAGAAATCTGTTCTAGACGATGAAAACAAAATTGTTCTAGACGAGAATCATTTTCACTTTTTAATGTTTTTCTTCGTTCTCCTTCATTTTTTCCTTCAACCAAATAAAATAAAAAACTCTATGTTTTTTCTATCCTTTTTCTTCCCTGGTTTTAGCTAGCGTTTGGCCATAGATTCTCAAATTTATTTTGAAAAATCTGATTTGAGTGAAGTTTGATTTAAAGATGAAAATGTATATGGACATCAGTTTTAAACATGACTTATACCCACAAGTTCTAAAAACTATCACAAATACCCAATAGTACCATTATCAATAACATTCATTATATTATCGCATCATAGTCCTGAAAATAAATAAATTTGGTAAAAAATTATTATTTTTATAATGAACTAAATGATATACTATCAGATGACCGAGAAGACGAAATAACATTATTACAAAATAATAAATTGTGGGTTCTTTTATAAAATATAAAAGTTTGGGGCAATTTTTTAAAAAGGTAATAATGATATTTTGACCTAAAACCAGCTCAGTTTTGGGATTTGGGATTTTGCCAAAATGTAGGCAAAATCTATAGGCAAACACGTGTTTGCCAAATAAAACCCAAATTTATTTTGGCAAAATCTATGACCAAACATGTCCTTAATACATTCCATAAAATTTGTGGTGAAATTGTACTTTCTCCTTTTTCCTCTTTAGTTTCCATACAAATTAAACAATAAAACGAAAATGTAAAAATATATCAGGCAAATAGTAAATTTCATTACATTTTATCTTTTTGGTCAAAGTGCTTTTTGTTGAATATACATTACAATTCTAATAAGGAGATTGTTCACTGAAATATTGACTTGGTTCCTTTGATCTCTGATTAAGTATATTTAATTTTTTAATCACATTTAATTTTGAATTTAATTGAAATATATGCACCTTCGATCATCATGCTCCCGAATCTTCATAAAATCATTTAATTACCCATGTATTAAGTTCAATTTATACCGTTACTTCCTATTTGTGAGTAATATAACGTATTTTCTGTGTAAAGGATAAAAAATGCAAAATTTGATTAATTCAAAATGCTTCAAAAATTATAACAAGGATCTAAGAGCCCGTTTGGAAATAAAAAAAATTCCCACTTTTTTTTCGAAATCAGCATTTGTTCATAAAATTTTCAATTTTCACTTGAAGATGCATTTCGGAATTTTTCAAAAATTTAAAAAATTTAAAATACCATTTTAAATACAACTGAAATGTCATGTCCAAACACAACTGAAATTTTAAATACCATTTTCATTTTAAATTTTTTTTCACCCTTTCTTCTTAGAATTTAACAATTCTTATGTCCAAACGCCCACTAACCAAAATTTATCAAAACAAGCGGGATAACAGTTGCACATATCTCTTCTAATGAAGGGGCAACGTCATTTTCGGCTTTTCCACACAATTCAAAAAAATTCAAAACAGAACCGGCTGGACCTAACATAACCAAACCACGGTTAATAAAAATCTAAATCACCGAAAAATATTCTTAACCATAGTTAATAACCCGTATTACTCAACCCGATATCCATTTCGCCTTTCCCTTATTCTTTCTCCTATAAAACAGAGGCCCTTCAGTATACCACACTCGCAATTCGAATTTCGAAAACTCATATCTTTCTGTTTAAACGGCGTCTTGATAAACGCCGCTCTTCTCCTCTTTGAAATTTGAATTTTTAGGGTTTCGGTGAAAATGAGAGAGTGCATTTCGATCCACATTGGTCAGGCTGGTATTCAGGTCGGAAATGCCTGCTGGGAACTTTACTGCCTCGAGCACGGCATTCAGGTATAATATTTTATTTCTCTTTTTAATAATCACATTTTCTGTGTTTTGACATGTGTATTTGCTTCGCATAAATCGATGAAAATGTCAAATATTTGTGATAGATCTGTTTGAATAGATGTGAATATGTTTTTTTTCATAGATCTGATTTTTAACTTACTTCTAGGTTATGTATGTGCCAATTGATCTAAGATCTGAACGTTTTTCAACAGATCCGAGTTGAATGTTTTAGATCTAGTCTATATATGTCCATTTTATTCAAAATGTTAAATAATTAAACAGATTTGATTGTATAATACATACCTAGGTCACTTTGGTATCCGATTGTTTCAGAATGTGAAAAAAATTGATAGATCTGACCGTGTGTGTCCGCTTGATTTGAAATGTTTAAGATTTTGATAGATCTGATTGAATAATTTATATATAGGATCCACATTTGTCAGATTGATTTGAAATGTTGATATTTCGGTAGATCTGATTGAATAAATTAAATGTAGGTTTGGTAGGTATCCGACTGTAACTAAATAACTTTTGTAATAACTTGTTGATATGTAGATGCACTTGAAGTCACACATTGTATGGGTGCTTGTCTGCGTATCTTAGATTGATTGTGTTCTTATAATATACTTTAAATGGCAATAAATATAATGACCAATGTGTTTTAGTGTTGGTTAAATCTATTAGCATCACACTTAAGTGTCTGTTTTGGACTTTGATAGATTTTCTATCCTGATTCTGATTCAGAAAATGAAAACTTCTCATTTAGTTGGAGTCTCTTATGTATGAATTGATATATGACACTTCAATGATGTCTCTTGGAAACTAGATTGGTTTGATACATAAGTTGCATTTCTAAATGTGATGAATATACACGGTTTATTTATCCTTGATAAGCCACAATGTCCTGAATGACCTATTGATTGTGAATTGCTGATAATTCTATCTTGTTTTCCCAAAGCCTGATGGCCAGATGCCAGGTGACAAGACTGTTGGAGGGGGTGATGATGCATTCAACACCTTCTTCAGCGAAACTGGAGCTGGAAAGCATGTACCCCGGGCTGTTTTTGTAGATCTTGAGCCCACTGTCATTGATGAAGTGAGGACAGGAACATACCGACAGCTCTTTCACCCTGAACAACTCATAAGTGGCAAGGAAGATGCAGCCAACAATTTTGCCCGTGGCCACTATACCAGTAAGTATTATATCTTGCTGAAGTTAATTTTTTGTTCTTCAGTCAAATGCTGAACGTTTTTGTTGTGTCTGTTTGTAGTTGGGAAAGAGATTGTTGATCTTTGCTTGGATCGCATACGAAAGCTTGCAGACAACTGTACTGGTCTTCAAGGGTTCCTGGTCTTCAATGCTGTTGGTGGTGGTACTGGTTCAGGTCTGGGGTCGCTTCTTCTGGAGCGTCTCTCTGTTGACTATGGAAAGAAGTCAAAACTTGGTTTCACAATATATCCTTCACCACAAGTCTCAACTTCTGTTGTTGAGCCTTACAACAGTGTCCTGTCAACTCATTCCCTCCTTGAGCACACTGATGTTTCCATCCTTCTGGACAATGAAGCCATTTATGACATTTGCAGGCGCTCACTGGACATTGAGCGCCCTACTTACACCAACCTTAACCGCCTTATCTCACAGGTAGCTTAATAACCTGTCATTCATGTTTGTCTAACGAAAAAATTAACTCCAATTTTGATAATATTAACATTTGTCCAATCTGTGCAGGTTATCTCTTCACTCACAGCATCTTTGAGGTTTGATGGTGCTTTGAATGTTGATGTGAATGAATTCCAGACCAATCTTGTGCCATACCCCAGGATCCATTTTATGCTTTCCTCGTATGCTCCTGTCATTTCTGCTGAGAAGGCCTACCATGAGCAGCTCTCAGTTGCAGAGATCACCAACAGTGCCTTTGAGCCATCTTCCATGATGGTTAAGTGTGACCCTCGTCATGGCAAGTACATGGCGTGCTGTCTCATGTTCCGTGGTGATGTGGTGCCAAAGGATGTTAATGCTGCTGTGGCCACCATCAAGACTAAGCGCACCATCCAATTCGTTGACTGGTGCCCTACAGGATTCAAGTGTGGTATTAACTATCAGCCACCAACTGTTGTTCCTGGTGGCGACCTTGCTAAGGTGCAGAGGGCTGTTTGCATGATTTCCAATTCAACCAGTGTCGCTGAGGTCTTCTCACGCATTGACCATAAGTTTGATCTGATGTATGCCAAGCGTGCTTTTGTCCATTGGTATGTTGGTGAGGGCATGGAGGAAGGTGAATTCAGTGAAGCACGTGAGGATCTTGCTGCCTTGGAGAAGGATTATGAAGAGGTTGGTGCTGAAGGTGATGATGAAGGGGAGGGAGAAGATGATGATGAGTACTGAGCTGTGTTGTAATATGTAGAATGCTTTTCTGCTTTTATGTTACCAGTTACTGCCTTTATGATGCACTAGTAAGACCTTATATTTCTTGAGATTGTTAAATTCTGCTGTGATGTTAAAACATTGGTGTTTGTTTTACTAAGTTCTTTGTTATGTTTTGCTTTCTCTATTATCATCTTTACCCAGTGATTTATCATTTTTAGGATATGAAAATTTGGAGGGTGTTAAATTCTGCACGTGAGGACTGCTGATGTATTAAATGGTCAGCACTTATCCTTCAAAGCTGAAATTTAAGAAGAATAGAAAATTAACTCGCAGTCGAACACGGAACCAAAGAATATATAGTTCTCTTATAATGCTCGAACATCTCTTCTCAAGCCTAAATGCTCATTCATTCCTCCTTGCTGCGTAACCTAGCAAGCTAAAAACATGATCTTTACACAAATAGCCAGCTAGATTTATTGTTTTTAGAAAAGTGATTACTTGGCAGCCAAGACCAAAGACAAGGAATCTAGTCATGTTTAAAAAGAAATTGTTGCATTACCTGCTGTGCATCATTAGAATCTCAAGATCACTTGCATTGTGCACAACAAATTTCTTGAAAGCGTTGGGTATATAGTAGTGGGGTATCCAAAATTGGGCATGTTAGAAAAGAGACAGGAGAATAAATTGAGAGAAAGCTTTTATACCGGGTATGTTTGAATAAAATCACTGTCCTTAAAAACAAGTTTCTTCAGGAATCTTTAAAGCCAAATTGTTATAAAGAGTGATTAGTCACTTACAGGGATGGTGATTTATACCGGGAGAAGAGGACTATTAGTAAAAGACATCTTATTTGTAAATAGACAATTAATTTAAATTTTAAATAATATATCCCATTCTCCTAATTGGGTTGTAATGTTTTCTAATTCTTCTTTTCTATGATTTACGATATGAACTCCTTTATGGAGTAATTTTCTTCTGGGAACTTGATGATGTATTAGCTTAGATTTTGGTTTCTTGAATTAATAATACCTATTGTGTATGTTTGACGGTGAAACCTTCTGGATCGAATCTTAATTTCCTCGACAGAAGAATTAAGAGGGATTCGTGTGCTTGCAGTTTTTGTTAGTGGTTCTCCTATAACCTGTTTATTCTGAATTTGATTATTCGAGAGAAGCTCCACTGTTATGTAAAATCCATTGTTTATAAACTTACACATAAATTGAACAAATATGTTTGAATAACTAGTGTTTATGTTGGGGCATTTCCATCTATACCTGCTTTTTGGGTCACGTTTTAATTTGTGCCCGCTTTGCAAAAAAAATTGCAAGCGTACCCACTTTTTCGCGTAACTTCAGCATACGGGGCTGAAGTAGCAAAGACAATCACACAAAACTTCAGCATTCTAGTAGACGAGACTGAAGTAGCATAGTGCTGAAGTTTTTGTTTGTAATTGCTGAACTTAAGCATAGTAGCTGAAGTTTTGTTCTCTATTTGCAGAAGTTTTTGTTTGTAATTGCTGAAATTTTTGTTTTTGTAACTGGCAAACTTCAGCTCTAGAGCTGATTTTGTTTTGTAATTGGCGAACTTCAGCTCTAGAGTCTTCTTCCCTTACGAAAACATGAAAATAGTTGCTTTACTGTCACATAAAGCATTCAATAGCAAGAATACCTCATCTTATAACTCTCTAATCGGACCAATTATTTAGTGTCACACCTCCTCTTTGCGCGCCCCGCCCCGAAGGATAAATGCGCGAGGAGAGTTTTTCCAATTTAAGTGACAATATTCGAAATGGGATTATTTATTTAANTAGATGATTAGTTCAACAACTAAACCATCCAAAGGAACTATTAATCAATATTTGATAAAGCAAGAAACTTTTTAACAATTTACTTAAACCAATATGTTGCTGCTAATGCCATGCATTATCAAATAGGATCTGTAGCTTCGGCATTTAACAGATCATTTATTGCCACCATTCAATCAAGCAACAAGACTTCGATATTTTTCGGAGAGGCATTTATGATGCGAAATTGCACTGTATATTCCTATTTTTTTCTTCTGCACTAACAGAAATATAATTTGTGCAGTGCGACTTCAGAAAGAGGTTGAGGGCGGATATAACTTTGAGGAGGAGAAAGAGTTGCTGGAGTTGTTTAAAAAGTAGGTAAAAATTAAAATATTTTTAAAAAATGGATATAGATTAAATGGGGCGACCAAATAGGGCACCCGTGCAATTTTTACGTTTATGTTAGTGATAGTTATATTTCGTGATAAGTGATCAATATTTAAGTTCAAAGTCAACTTCTCCACTTTCCTCCTTTTGCTAGATGATAGGTATTACAAGATAGATATTCCCGAGAAGTAAAATTTCTAAGAATAAAAAAATCACCAAAGAACAGAAAATATTGTCATTTTCTTTTTTTCTTTGCTTTACTCTTGTGAACGACGTTACACCGAAGGAACTACTACCTCAAGGCGAAGTAAAATTGTTGATCCCTGACATCGTAGAACTAGTATCTTGTTATCTGCAAACCATTTAGATATAATTTTCCCTCTTATTTATGTTGGCTTCTAGAATAATTAAGGGCTCAAACAGTACCACCCTCGTCTTTATTCTTAAAAGTTGAATAACATAGGCTAGATAAATAAAGCAAGATCAGATCATCTATTATAATTTGTAGAGCAGTATGCAGCATACTATAACCAGTAACCAAAAGAGAACATTGGAAAGCTAAAATCTGATGATTTAAGCATTTGAAAGCAATTGGATGGTTCAAAAGCCACAGCTAAGAAAAACACAAAACTGGATTGCAGTCAAAAGACAGGCAATAAGTTCAAATACTGAATATATATTGGTCTTTTCCAAGGCTCAAATATCTCTTCCGAAGCATGAATACTTATTCGTCCTCCTGGCTGCGCAACCTAGCAAGCTTGTTAGTCACAACCACATCAAGTTGAGCTGCTCGCTCAACAATTTCTTTCCTCTTCCTTGTCGACACATTATGTGCAATCTCAGCACAGTAAGTTCTGTGAACAAAAACGAAAACAATCACTTGGCTGCCAAGACCAAAGACAGGGAAACTAGTCTTTCATGTCCAAATGATAGGCAAATACTGTACAAGTTGCATTACCTGTTGTGCATCATTAGAACATCAAGCTCACTTGCATTGTGCACAACAAACTTCTTGAAGCCATTGGGAAGATAGTGACGAGTCTTCTTGTCAGACCCATATCCAATGTTGGGCATCAGGACACATCCCTTGAACTTTCTTCTAACCCTAGAATCAATACCTTTTGGTCGGCGCCAGCTTGGCTGTCATTGATAAATTCAATAATTAGCTTCATTTGGTAAGCCATGTACATTTCAAACTGAACTGGACAAAAGGCAAATGCTCTAGAGACATAGTACATGCCTAGCAAAGATTGCTAACAAAAAAACCCAAGCCTAACTGCATTATGCAACAGAAAACCAACTAATGACATTCAAACTATGTTAATGTTATTCATAGAGGTGGATGCTTTCTCATTCCACTCCCATGTGGAGAGGGTTAAAATATAGAGCAATAGAAGTCATAGAGGGATAAATTGAAAGAATAATTATCGTTTTTTTAACAAGGAAATAACAAATGAAGCTTTCGGGCTTTGAACCCACAACCCATCAATAATTATAGTTAGTGAAGCCAACAGTGGTGCAAACACATGTCTTGTAATTTGAAACACCCTTAAACAAAATGCATAGCAATAAGGTAGTTATGTTCCTTGTATACCAGGGGCAAACAATAATCTTTAGGTAAATCCAGTGTTGTCAAAGGCGAAAAGCTCAAAAGACGCTCTTGGTCTATCTATTTGGGCTTTAAGCGCAAAGCACACTTAAAGTGTGGGCTTAAGTTAAAAAAAAGGTGCAATGAAGGAAAAAAATAAAAATTTATATGTAATTCAAGAGCAACAATAACAACATACCCAGTATTATCCCACAGCGCACCGCAAGGTCTGGGGAATGTAATTCAAGAGCAAAGTAACAAATTCATTCATAATGTTTTCCTTAAAACACAAATTTCCAATAATATTTGTTGTTTAGTGCCGCTTGATTCAAGAGAGAACTCATGGGAAATAGGCGCACGCGTGCTAGCCCTCCTTGAGCTTTTCCGAGCTCCAGGACTTAAGCGTGCCATAAATGAGCCTTTAACGACACCGCGTCAATCTTTTGGGATAACCAAGGTTCCTTTAATCTTTGAACTGGAAAAGTTTGTTAGGAAATTAGGGAACTTGAAAGATTGGTACTAGACTTAAGTCATACCACAGGAGTTATTTTCTTCGTCTGTAAAAGAGCATCCTACACCCTCTAAATTATGTACCTGTTCCTTCACTCAAATAGCGAATAATCTTCAGAACCCCTCAGCCCCTCACAACATGAATTTTTTGCTTTAGACCTTTGCATACTCTATATCACTCTGTGTACAACTACATGGACTTAGGCCTTAGTGACTGGAAACCAAAGCAGCAAAGGAGAATAAACACTTGAAGGACACAATAACAAAACTGCCTCTCTTCCTGGCTGTTGTGTGATCCTCTCTTATGTCTTATATCATAGATTGTTGGCTGATCTAGTTTTTCCCATATCGACAATAGAAACCACCAAAATAGATTAGGATGATACCAAGGAATTACAACTTCCCCACTTTTGGTCATAGTGAAAAGGCTGGCTACATAGATGACCCCCGAATTTGACAAGAAATTTCATTTAGACACAAAATTTAATAGTTGGTCCATTCTCAGCCTCGGTATGGAGATGTGTAATGTGGGAAGAGAAAGGGGAAATGTGTAATGAATTACGGATTAGGCGTATGGGGGGGGGGGGACAGAGGGAGTAACAAAGAAAAACAGGAGAGGGACATTCCATTTGAGCTCACATT